AACGTAAACCCGACACTCATCGACGATGTCGGAATGAACCCTCTCTCCGAACGCCCTCTTCACAGGCCAATGCAAGGATTAATTTCCATTGAGACAGGTGCCACGTTGAGAGACAACCGTTTGAAGATCCTCAAGCGTGCCAAAACACCACTCTCGGAATTCAGCGCCACCAGTCATCTTGACTGTTGCGTATTGGCGATCCTGAATCGCGGTTGAACACCATTCCTGGGACTTTGACACCACAAGTCAACGTAACTGTTGGACCTCTGCAGCCCAGAACCCAAAAGATTATTTCTGGTATGTTAACCATGAGACTCCGCAGCATTTTCGCAAATTATTGAAACGGATGTGCGCGGCGCTCAGGCGAGACATATATTCCGAAAACAACGCCCTCAATTCGTAAAACTCTTACAGAATTGTACAACGAATGTGCGTGGCGCTCAGGCGAAAACCGCATTTTGAAAAGGAGCCTGCCTCAATTCGTGATGCTCTGGTAAAATTGTTAAACGAATGTGCGCGGCGCTCAGGCGAGAACCACTATTTGAAAAGAAACCGCCTTCAAACCGTGACTCCCATGCAAATGTGTAGAACATATTTGCACGGCGCTCGATCGAGAACCACATTTTGAGGAATAACCGCCTTCAGTCTGTGAAGTTTTTGCAACTGTGTAAAACGAATGTGCGCGACGCTCAAGCGAGAACCACATTTTGAAAACCAGCCGCCGTCAATCCGTGAAATTATTGCAATTAGTATGTGCGCGGCGCTCAGGCGAGATCCATATTTTGGAAGCGACCTGCCCTCCATCCGTGCAACTGTTCAACTGTTGCCAATGTTGAAGCTTCAGGGTCATGCCTGATTTGGAAGCCTCAGGCGAAACGCCCGGCCCGCCCTTCCGACTGGCCTCGGGGTGCGGCAGAGGGGAGCATTTCCAGGGACAAGGAATGGATGATGATGAGGAGAAGGGAGGAGGAGGAGGAGGAGGAGGAGAAGGAGGAGGAGGAGGAGGAGGAGGAGGAGGAAGGGGAGGAGCATGAGGAGGAGGAGGAGGAAGAGGAAGAGGAGGAGGAGGAGGAGGAGGAAGAGGAGGAGGAGGAAGGGGAGGAGCAGGAGGAGGAGGAGGAGAAGGAGAAGGAAGAGGAGGAGGAAAAGGAGAAGGAAGAGGAGGAGGAGAAGGAGAATGAGGAGGAGGAGGAGGAGGAAGAGGAAGAGGAGGAGGAGGAGGAGGAGGAAGAAGGGGAAGGGGATAGGCGTCATAATCCAGTAAAAACAAGAGAAACGCCAAAACCAACCTGCCATAGGCGAGCCGACGCGCACATCCAGGGGCTGGGAAAACAGGCAAAAAAACAGACTTATACACCCCTTGTCTCGGGCGTCGTTCGGACGTCTATTCCTCTGTGCATTTTTCGGTTTCGTGTTTTTTTGTAGGACGATACAATCTGCTCCTCGATGGCCCTCGTCGAGGGAACACGAGCACGTCCGAGCGATGCCCAATTGTGGCCCAACTAGCGACGTCCGTGTTTGGGCGTGCCCTCCTCCGCCGGTGCCACGTTCTGGAGGTCCGCGCGGACCTCTTGCATCGGCCCTGGCGCGCGGAGCGCGCCACGGGGGCCCAGAGGCGCTGCCAGAGGGGCCCGGCGCCGATCCGAGACATCCACGCGGAGTTCTGAACGTTTGATGTGAGGGATTTCTCCTTTGACGACACATGCGTAAAGCAACTGGAATTCAGAGAAGGAGGGGGAGAGAGAGAGAGAGACACAGAGAGAGAGAGAGAGAACAAAAAAGGAAAGAGAGAGAGAGAGAGAATTAGAGAGAGAGAGAGAGACAGACAGAGAGCGAGAGAGAAAGAGAGAGAGGATAAGACATACATTGCGGGCCTGCCCCGCAATGTCCCATCGCAACCGCAGTGGGCGGCGAAGACAAAACTGCAGCAGCAAGCCAGGGCCCTGACAGCGCCGACAGCGCCAGGGCCACCGGATGAGAAACCCTTAGATAAGGAACCCAGGGTCTGAAAGGCGGTGGGGTACCGATTGAGGCTTGGCCATGGATATCACCGCAACCCTCGTCAGATAAGGGATCCTCCAATTGAAACTTCCCGCGAACGTTCCTTAGCCAACGCCCTCGCCGTGTGTTTGTGCCCTCCTGTGTCCGTCGAGCCAAAAGCCACTCCAGCGAAGGGCCACTCGCGTGTGCAGCCAGGCCACGGCTTTCACGCCCCCCTTCGTTGCGCCCCGGAGCCCACCTCCAATCCCGGTGGCTTTCGGGCCAGGGCTCCTCCCTCCGGCGGCCCTTCGGGGCGCTCCCGGCACCCCCTAGAGCGCTCCCGGCGAGGCGCGGCTGCTGGAGAGCACCCCGAGGCTGGAAAGCCGCCGAGGACCGACGAAAACGCCCGAAAACCTCGAGCCACGCACCTCGAACCTCGGGCGACCCCCCCCGCCTTGCTCCGCCCTGGGGGCTCCTTCGGGAGCTGCAGCAGCTCGGCGAGCTCGTCGCTGCCGATGCCCTGCGATCGGCCAGGCCCCCGCCCCTTTCGGCCACTTGCTCCCGCTTCTGCCCGCGCGGCTCCGGCGGACTGCCCTTCTACGGTTAGGTCGGGCATGTCCGGCGGATTTTGGACGACAAATAAAAGACATTCAAACCATACTCCCAAAATAGCCCAAATATAATAGAAACATCGTCCCCAGACTTTTTTGACTACTTCTGAAGATTCCCCCTGTAGAGGGACACGCCCGACATAATTCTACGGTCGAGACCTGGCCACAAGAACGCCGGCCCGAAGGCTAAAGGCCCCATGAAGCTACGTACCCCGAGCGGAGAGCACCCCGAGGTTCCAAAGCCCGGGCACGAAGAGCACAAGGGTACCCCTTCGAAACTAGGGTCGAGACCTCCTCCTCCTCCTCCTCCTCCTCCTTCTCTTCTTCCTCCTCCTCCTCCTCTTCCTCCTCCTCCTCCTCCTCCGCTTCCTCCTCCTCCTCCTCCTCCGCCCCCTTTCTACGGTCGAGGCCAGGGCACAAGAACGCTGGCCCGAAGGCCGAAGGCCCATGAAGCTACGTACCCCGAGCGGGGATCACCCCGAGGTTCCAAAGCCCAGGCACGAAGAGCACAAGGGTACCCCCTCGAAACTAGGGTCGAGACCTCCTCCTCCTCCTCTTCCTCCTCCTCCTCTTCCTCCTCCTCCTGTTCCTCTTCCGCCTCCTCCTCCTCCTCCTCCTCCTCCTCCTCATCCTCCTCATCCTCTTCCTCTTCCTCCTCCTCTTCCTCCTCCCTCCTCCTTCTCCTCCTCCTCCTCCGCCCCCTTTTCTACGGTCGAGGCCAGGGCACAACCACGAATACCGCCATGTGATTCCGACGCGCAGGCGATGCGGAGAACGGGCCACCACCCTGGACCCCATGATGAATCAGGGCCGTGTTAGACCAAAGGAGGAAAAAGTGCCCTTTTGAGTGTCGGCCCGAAGGCCCCTTATGAAGATACTACCCCAAGCGAGGAGCACTCCAGGGCTCCGAAGCCCAGGCACGAAGAGCATAAAAAGGGTACCCCCCGAAGCTGGGGTTGTCCTTGGACCCTCGCCAAAGGACAATCCTAGCAGAGGCCGAAGGCCCTATGAAGATACTTGCCTGAAGCGAGGAGCACTCCAAGGCTCCAAAGCCCAAGCACGAAGAGCGTAAGGGTCCCCACCCCCAAAGCTAGGGTTGCCCCTTAATAAGAAGAGCGATGCTACTACGCATCAGGCTATATAACAACAAGATGACTAAGAATAACGTAGCACCCCGCATTTGCGGATAGGAGTGAGGGGGCGGGCGCGGGGTGGGTCGCGGGTGGGTCGCGGGGTGGGTCGCGGGGTGTGTCGTGGGTGGGTCGCGGGTGGGTCGCGCGGCTGGGTCGCGGGGTGGGTCGCGGGCGGGTCGCGGGTGGGTCGCGGGGTGGGTCGCGGGTGGGTCGCGGGTGGGTCGCGGGCGGGTCGCGGAGCGGGGGGGGGGACGACGCAACACAACAAGAACAATAATCTTCGCCGTGGATCCCCACTTCAGCCACGCACCCAGGGACAGTGAATGACCGTTCGGGTCCCCTCACTCTGATAATAACTAGAAGAAATAGAATTACCCCAGTGCGACCCTACCTAGGAGTTGGAGCCCCCCAGGAAAGCAGCATTAGTAGTAACGGTAAACGCCGTCCTTCTCCTCCTCATCGTCGTAGTTACCTTTGCTTTTGCTTGTTCCCCACATGTTTCGTGGGGTTATGGTGTTCTTCCCTGCCGCGCCGCACCCGCGTCTCACACCTCCCCCCTCCCCTTCTCTTTCTCGCAGCTCAGCTCAACTTAACACAGCACAGCACAACACAGCACGGCACGGCACAGCACAGCTCACCGCACAGCAGCACAGCACAGCACAGCACAACGCCGCAGGGGGTGCGCTGGGGGTGGGGGGCCCTGTGCGTTGTAGGCTCCCAGGGCGTGGCAGGCGTGGCGTCGCCGCACCCGCGACACTCACACCGCACCTCGGGTGGCAAGGTCGGAGAGCGTAGCAGGCGTGGCACTTCCTCGACAACAGAGGGGGTGCGCAAAAGGGTGGTCTCTCACCGCGGCCGCTATCCGTGACGGTCGTCCAGGGCACAGCAGGCATGGCATATCCTCGACACCAGAGGGGGTGCGCAGGGGGTGGTCTCTCACCGCGGCCGCTATCCGTGACGGTCGTCCAGGGCACAGCAGGCATGGCATATTCTCGACACCATATGGGGGTGCGCAGGGGGTGGTCTCTCACCGCGGCCGCTATCCGTGACGGTCGTCTGGGCAGGCAGGCACATATTCTCGACACCATAAGGGGGTGCGCAGGGGGGGTCTCTCACCCGCTATCCGTGACGGTCGTCCAGAGCACACCAGGCATGGCACATTCTCGACACCAGAGGGGGTGCGCAAGGGGGTGGTCTCCCACCGCGGCCGCTATCCGTGACGGTCGCCCAGGGCACAGCAGGCATGACATTTTCTCGACACCAGAGGGGGTGCGCAAAGGGTGGTCTCTCACCGCGGCCGCTATCCGTGACGGTCGTCCAGGGCACACCAGGCATGGCATATTCTCGTCACCAGAGGGGGTGCGCAAGGGGTGGTCTCTCACCGCGGCCGCTATCCGTGACGGTCGCCCAGGGCACACCAGGCATTGCATATTCTCGACACCAGAGGGGGTGCGCAAGAGATGGTCTCTCACCGCGGCCGCTATCCGTGACGGTCGTCCAGGGCACAGCAGGCATGGCATATTCTCGACACCAGAGGGGGTGCGCAGGGGGTGGTCTCTCACCGCGGCCGCTATCCGTGACGGTCGTCCAGGGCACAGCAGGCATGCCATATTCTCGACACCAGAGGGACAGCAGGCATGGCGTATTCTCGGCACCAGACGGGGTGCGCAGGGGGTGGTCTCTCACCGCGGCAGCTATCCGTGACGGTCGTCCAGGGCACAACAGGCATGACATATTCTCGACACCAGATGGGGGTGCGCAGGGGGTGGTCTCTCACCGCGGCCGCTATCCGTGACGGTCGTCCAGGGCACAGCAGGCATGGCATATCCTCGACACCAGAAGGGGTGCGCAAGGGGTGGTCTCTCACCGCGGCCGCTATCCGTGACGGTCGCCCAGGGCACACCAGGCATGGCACGTTTCGGCACCAGAGGGGGTGCGCAAGGGGTGGTCTCTCACCGCGGCCGCTATCCGTAACGGTCGTCTAGGGCACAGCAGGCATGGCATATTCTCGACACCATAGGGAGTGAGCAGGGGGTGGTCTCTCAGCGCGGCCTTTAGGCGGAGCAAAACACATACGATTTTAAGTAAGTATGTGGGGTTCCTCGGTAGCGTAATGTTTGCTTTTGCTTGGTTTTGTTTTTGCTTTGCCTTCGCACACGCACACACACGCATGTTTTTGGCATTCGCTCACCGGGTGGGCTCTCTGATCGTACTGTCGCACATTGCTTGTGCTTTGCATTTCCTTTGCTTTGCTTTTGATGTTGCTTTGATTTGCTTTGCTTTGCGTTGCGTGTGCTTTGATGTGCTGTTGCTGTTGTTGCGTTGTCTTTGCTTTGCTGCTATGCTATGCTATGCTGCGCTATACTGCACTAAGCTATGCCATGCTATGCTATGCTATGCTGCGCTATGCGATGCTACGCTAGACTGCGCTATGTTATGCTAGGCTATGGTATGCTGTGCTATGCTGCGCTATGCTATGCTATGCTGTGCTATGCTGCGCTATGCGATGCTATGATATGCTATTATATGCTGCGTTATGCTATGCCATGCTGGGCTATGCTATGATATGCCAAGCTAAGCTAAGCTAAGGTGAGCAAAGCTAGCTACAGCTACGCGAAGCTAAGATGAAGCTAAGCTAAGCTAAGCTAAGCTAAGCTAAGCTGAGATGAGATAAGCAACGCTGATAGAAGGGACGTAACTGGGGGAACCGCGGGGCGGATGCCGGGGGCCGCCCGGGGCGTGCCCCACTGCCCGGCCCTGTAAGCATACCGAGTAAGAACCCTTCTAGGCAGAGCCGAGGTAGGGAATATCAATACTAAGAACAATAATGATGAAACTAATCAAAACAACAATACTAATAAGTGTACTAAGAAGAAGAATAATAAGAAGAAGAAGAAGAAGAGGGGGAGGAGGAGGAGGAGGAGGAGGAGGAGGAGGAGGAGGAGGAGGGGGAGCAGGAGGAGGAGGAGGATGAGGATGAGGAGGAAGAGGGATCCAAAAAGCCTGCGCGGAGCTCCGCATGTTGCGTGCGTGCGGCATGTTGTTCCTCTCGCAAACGCTGTCCGGAGCGGATTCCGCCGGGAAGGCGCAAACCCCGAGATCTTGGCGCTGCAACCTTCTCACACGGGGGCGTTTCCGCCCATTTTCGTGCCCTGGGTTCCTCAAAGATCGATCCAGCTCGAAGAATGGCGCAGAAAGATCGGGCCCCGGGCTAGGGTTGTCCTTCGACCCGACGGCATCCGTCTGGCTCTTCCCGACGGCATCCGCCTGGGCCAGCGATTGCAGAGGAACGCCATGCGGCACGCACGCAAGCTTTCGGAGCTCCACGCGGACTTCCTGGATCGGCGCTGGACGCCCCCCTGGCGCGCGGCGCCAGCCCCCCCCCTCCCCCTCGGCGAGTCCCGCCTCTGCTTGCGCGTCTCCGCCCCCCCCACCACCCCCTTCCCTGAGATCCGACGGCTCGAAAAAATTGCAACATCGCGAAACATCACGACCAAAGCCCGGGGCCCAATCTTTCTGCGCCATTTTTCGAGCCGGATCGATCTGTGAGGAACCCGGGGCACGAAAATGGGCTGAAACGCCCTCGTGTGAAAGATTGCAGCGCCAAGATCTCAAGGTTTGCGTCTTCCCGACGGCATCCGCTCGGGACAGCGTTTGCGACATGCCGCATGCACGCAACATGCGGAGCTCCGCGCAGGCTGTTTTGGATCGGCGCTGGGCCCCACCTCCACCTCCTCTTCTTCCTCCTCCTCCTCCTTCTCCTCCTCCCCCTCCTC